AGGTTTTTAAAGTTAACTCTTGGCAAGTTGGAGAAAAACTAGAGTTTTTAAGAGTCTGATGAGAAAAGGCCCAGATGCTGGCTGACCTGGGAGAGGTCTGACAAAGAGAAAAGAACATGGACTTGGATTATACCTTTTGCTTCCTCCACTTTGCAGAGTGGGTGTAGAGGGGTGGGGGACAAGGGATTAAGGCAAAACTGTAGTCCAGACTAGACGTATGGTGGGGTGGGGTTGGGAGAGCATACAGTTGAGGGATAGAGAAGCAGCTGCAGTGGTGGTGGCAGGTGATACAGCTGCAGCCCAAGCCCCATGGACTGGATCTGTGCTCAATGCTATGAGTGGCAGCAGGCCTTTGGGAGGTGGCCCTGGCTGGGATTGGGCTACAGACTAGCTTGCTCTCAGAGCCAGGCAGCCTCATTGTGGCGGTGGCAGTGGCAGTGGGGAAGGTGGTGGCAGTGTGCTGTGCAGGCCTGTGTTCTCCTTGTCCAGGCTGGTTTCAGGTTTGATGGCAGATGGCAGACAGGCCATCTGGGGAGGATCACCCTATCCAGGGTTTCAGCACCAAATTTGTTAAAGTCACGGAGAGGAGAGAGACCATCTGAGCAGGTTTTGAGTAACAACTATGGCTGTATATTTGCTCAGGTGGGAGTGGGCTGAATTCTGCAAAAGGAATCAGCACGAAGTGAGAGTAGAACAAAAGTTTTAAAGGGAAGGGGAGGAGTTTGCTGCTTTGAGAAATTTGGTAGTGGAGATAGTGGGGTTGTGCTTGTCTGAACAGGGGGTGCAGATGTGAGTGTGGTTATGCCTCTTGGGGTGGGCAGTGCAGACACAACTGAATTTCCTGGAACTGAGGGTTCTGGCATGGTGTTCTGTAGTGGCTTTTCCATCTGGCATGACAAGCATTACTTCATTAAATTTCACCTAAACCTTGTGGTCACCTCTGTCAGAAAAATCTTGTAAGAATTTTTTTCCATTATTTGCTGAAATGAATCATGTTCCTTTTGATATGCAGTATCTCTCATTTTATGACTTTAAATACCTGATTTTTAATAAAAGAGCTGTCATGGTTGGTGTCTAGATGTCCCCCCAAAGCCTCATGCAGTTTTGGGATGGGCTTCTAGAGTTTAGGATTGATCCATGGTCCAATGCTGGGATTATGGGTGTGAGTGCTACACTCGCCCTGGGGTGGGAGCCTGCATAGAATATAAGGGAGGGAAAGAGGCTTGCTCGTGCTGCCCCTCCCTTTGCTTTGTTGCTGTTGCTGTCTTCCACTGCTGTGAACGATTACCCTCTGCTATGTGCTACCCTGCCTTGGAGCCAGCCAAGAATGGACTGAAACCTCCACAAACTTTGAGCTAACTAAACCTTTCCTTCCTTAATTTTGGGCATCAGGTATTTTGTCTTAGTAATCAGAGAAAAGTAACCAAGACAAGAGGCATGGGAAAGGTTCATTAGAGATTTTAGAGTGTACTCAAGAGTGGAGTGTGGGTGCTCAGAGAAATGAGGTGCATTACAGTTTGGGATTGGGAATATTTATGTGTCTTTGGAAATATGTGGAATTTGATAATCTGTAGTCTTGGTCTCAGTTTGGTGGGTTGGGTGAATGGCTCATCTATGGTAAGATTATTGTTATGTTTTGGATGGTGGCCTAATTTACAGTGAAAAGGTAGTCTATTTACAGGTGAAAGAGGACCCTTGGCAAGTAAAAAGGAAATAGCTGGGTGGCATTGTTGGAAGGTAGAACTTTTGAAGATTATTAGGATTAGAAAGTGAAGCAACAGATGATGGCACCAATGCTCTTACAGAAAGAGGAACTGTGGGAACTGTGTCTGCATGCATGTACCAAATAAGGCCATGTGAGAACATGGCTAGGAAGAATGTGCTTCCAAAGATGCCACCATGTTCCATCTCAATTTCAGACTTCCAGTCTCCACAGTGTAACATCTGGGGAGAGTTGTACACCATGTCATGCTATGCCATGCTGGAAAGTCCAGGAGTGGACAGCAAACCACTTTTCTGCCACATCATGCCACTGCTGCTGGAACACACAGCTCCCTGTGATTCCAAACTCAGTGATGGTAAACAACTGAAGAAGCAGTTTACAATAAGAGAAGACAATTTAGTTGAATATAGGGAAGGAGGAAAAGAAGAATGACAGAAAGTTACTGTGGTAGAGTTTGGAGAATTTGAAAGTGAATTGCTCTGGGTTCTTGTCTTCAGCTCCTTTTATTGAGATCCTTGTCCCACATAGGTTTCTAGAATCTGATTGGCCCCCTGGCTTGTCTTTCATCCTAACTCTGGATTTCTTCCAGCTACACAACCTGTCCCTGTGCTTTGGTGCAGGGTAATACTATGGTGAGGGCCTTATGGAGAGGTAGTTTAGGCTGAGTAAAGGGGAAGTTTGTGATTCTTATGCTAATCATGCTATTTAGGAACTTCTGCTGCTCCTGAGTTGCTTTCCTTTGGCTTCCTAATTGCTTGAATTTAGTTGCTTTTGTCTTTCTAATTCCTGAGAGTTTAGCTGCCTTTTCCCTTCTAATTGCTGGAGTCTGGCTACAGAGGTCAAAGTTGTCTTATTGATTTTTAATAAAGCTCAATGAAACCTTCATCCTATTTTTTCCCTACCTACAGTGCCTTCTGTCCCTACAAGAGTATGAGAAATAAAGTTGTTGTTGAATCTGCCTGATTTGTGTGATTACTGTCCCAGCCCAAACTGACTAATATACTACCACTCACCAGTGAATCATTGTCCCCTTACTCTGTGTTTCTCTTTCATTTTTTTCTAGACAGGGCACTATTTTACTTCATTTTGAGGAAACTAAAATGGCAGGCAAGGGACAGTCAAGGAGAGTATCAGTAAATGGCACTAAAAACAACAGTATGAAGCTATCATGGGTATATTGAAGATGTCAAACACCAACAGCAAATACCTTTCTTTTTTTTAACCAAGCATTTAGTAAGCACCTACTGGTATCAGACATAGATTACTGCCAATTGTCACCCTCATTAATATAGGGGAAATAATATGTAACTCTCAAACTTCTAGATGTCAGATACACCAAGTTTGTATTTCCCAAAATTAAAGAATGAATCCTAAGGAACAATAAAGGTTAAAAAGGTAGGACATATATGATAGATTTTTCCAGTGCAGAGAGAAGTAAAACAGAATAAAATGCCTGGACTAGGGTCAAAGGTTAAATAGGCACAGGCTGGAGGTGGGGTGTAGGGGGTAGATCACCTGACGTGGCAGACCAGGATTGGGCAGGAGCGCGGGAAAAGGAAACAGGATATTACAAAAAGGGAAGTAAGAAGTCGTAATTTGAGTCAGAGGAAGAAGGGTGGGGCTTAGCACATGACCTTTAGTGGCCAGCGCCGTATTGGGTCTGGGCCATACTGGCTCAGCGCCATACCACATGACCTCCAGTGGGTGGCATCATAGCAACTCGGCAGGAATTACAGGTGAGAAACCCATCAATATATATTGAGATAAATAGCTCCTGAGAGATAAGAGGGGACCTAAAAGTGAGTTGCCGTGGGCATACTTCTCAAAGGAAGTTGTACAGAGCAAAAATCATGAGATGGGTACAATGTGGGTCAAAACTATGATCAACTAATGATTGTAAGTATAGCCACTTAGGTAATATTAGTCCAATGGAGAAGTTGGTCTCATAGCAAGTATACATGGAAAGAACAAAGGCTGTTTTAAGGGAGGGATGCATCAGGGGGTCTTGGTCACCCACGAGGATGACTGATGTCTATCTAGGCTAATTGATATCAATTATTTTATTCCCTGGGGAGGTGTATATATACCTGGTTATTTTGTCTTTATCTTGAGGTCTGATTCTCAATAGATGTGCCTCTGGCCACAGTTGTAATATCTTTTCATCTTCTGTACTGACTTTCTGGAGGGCTTAGCCTGATCTGACTGTCTAAAATATTTCTACCTAATTTAGCTATCTATAATATCATGACAACCAAAAGACTAGTCATAGTCGTATATCTGAGAGATATCATAGGGTTCTCTACTACGCTCAGCATAGAACTGCAGATTTTCCTTAGTTATTTTCTCACGAAGGAGATGGGTGTGTTGGCACACACCTTTAGTCCTGGCACTTGGGTGCTGAGGACAATTAGCAATTTAATGAGAACCTGTCTCAAAATGAAAAATACCCAGTGATGCATTACAAACAACAGACAAAATGGCTGGGGATGTAGCTCAGTGCTAAGGCCTTGGGCTCAGTCCTCAGTACAAAACAAAACAAAACAAATCAGGGGGCCTTAGGCTGTAATAGCCAGTTTCCAATACAGGCTCAATAGAATGATATATAAAAAATATAATTCCCAACCTGTTAGATGTCAAATATGCTGGGTTTGTCCCACAATACCTAGGAATGAAGTCATGTATCAAAGGAAGAAGTTAGGAGAGTTTTATTGGAGATAGGGAAAGAATAATAATTCCTGTATTTCCAGGAAGGCCCTTCATCTGGGGTAATTTATACAGCAAATGTGGGTACAATGTTGGTCAAACTATAGTCAACCTATAGGATTAAAATATTGCTGCTTAGCCAATATTGATTCAATAGGGAAATGAGTCATGTTGCATGGGTACATGGAAAGAAGAAAGACATTTTGGGGAAGGGGTGGGTCCAGAAGCTGTAGTCACGTACCTGGGTGACAGATGCCTACCTGGACTTACTGGACCAGGTGGTGCAGTAAGAACAGTATGTGTACAATATAATCTAAAGTTATTGTCTATACCTTAGGGAGATACGAAGACCTGGCCATTATATCTTTATCTTGAGGCCTGGTCTTCTTCAGATGCACCTCCACTCACAATTCTGATGTCTTTATTTGTCACTGACTTCCTTGAGAGCCCAGTCCCTGTCTGACTGTATATTAATTTCTATCTAACTTAGCTCCCTGTAATAGCATTATTCCATAGTTAAAGTCTAAGGACCTCTAAAGAAAACATCTGAGAAGGGGGAATTAATCTATGACTCTGGTGGTGAACATTAGATTTTATTACAATCAGCAGCTGTGGGGCAGGGTAGGTTTGAATTTTCTCTTGAATATAACTGTTTCAGGAGAACTTTAGCGTCTTCTGTCACTGTGTCAAGGAAATGTAGTTGCAAATAAAAAATTTTCTGAAAGTAAAGTCCTGTAGCAACAAGACCTCCATTAACCGAAAAAAATTTCTCCACATAGCCCCAAAATGTCTCCATTAGTGTTTCTTCATTTTCCATTTCCAACAAATGTGGAGACTTAATGATTGCTTTGAGTTGTTCCACAGGCACTTGCAAATCCTTGGCCAGAAGCTTCAGTGATAAATCATCCACTCCAAACAAGAGTTGGAAGTGGTTTAAGCTTGCTTTCAGCTTCTTCATATCTTTGACACTGATCATGCCGAGTGCAGGCAAGGTAGCCTGTAGTCCACCTTTAAAGGCTTCTAGCCAGATATACTTCTTCAGAGACTCCCGCTTTCTTTCAATGGCTGCCTCAGTAATATTAGGCAAGGAGAGCGTAAAAATATGGCGCTTTTGAGCAGGGACATCCTTTATTAGGGTGTCCATGAGTTTTGGGAAATCAAACTTAGATAAATTGTTGTTAGAGACCAAGAAGATTTGTGGTTCAATCATGCCATTCTTCTTAAAGTTATCCAGACAGTTTTTTCGGATCATCTGCAAGACTTTGTTTTCATTAAATGTGGATGGTTTACACTCCTTTTCATTTCGTAAGTCAGAGTCCACCTTGGTTCTCACAAAATAGAAATTTTTTCCCATCATTCTGATCACCTCGGCCAGGTCTATATCATTTTGTTTGAAGCGTGTAGCAGAAACAATAATAAAAAAGTCATATTCAACAAATTGTACTCTCTTAAGATAATCTTTTGGTGGGAAATTGGTGGTTCCGATGCCAGGTAGATCCCATATCGTCACATTGGGCAAATTTGGGTGAGTGTATGAAGCTCTCTCGATGGTTGTTTCACACACCCCAATGGGAGCTGCATCTTTGGATTCATGCTTAACCCCTCTCAGGGTATTGACCAAACTGGACTTCCCTGATCCAGACTCCCCTGTCACAGCAATGTTGAGTGGGATATCACTGATTTCTTTTAAGGCAGCAGTGATCACAGCATTTGCCCCCTGAATGTCTCCTTTTGTCAAGTGTAACTCAATTGCACTGGTGGCTTCTTGAGAGATGAGTTTACTTTTCACATTTGAGTCCTTAAACTGTTTAAAGCTGGAGACCAAATCTTGGTGTTCTTCATTAGGGGTGTTGGAGAACAGCTGGCCCATGACTGGGAGTAAACAGAGGAACTGGAAGAGAGAGGAGAGCAGAGTTGAACGAAGATTATCTTTGTGATCTGCTCTCATCAGAACAGCTGCAGCCTCAGTACTGTTTCCCTCAGTTATTTCCTGACCAAGATTAGTTCTCATGTCATTCAGCTTCCTCTCGCTCTTTTTTAGTGTATGTTTGTTATACAGAACAGTTACGTAATATATTGCTCATTTTTGTTCTCTTTATCCCTCTCCTTTCCTCATCTTCAAAAAGTCTGCTTCTTTGTTTCCTACCACCTCTCCTTTACTATACTTTTATTTATTTATTTACTTTTAAAATTTTTATTGCTTTATACTTTAACTTTCTTCTATGAGAGAAAACATGTGGTATTTAACTTTCTGTGTTTGACTTATTTCACCTAATGTTATGGTCTCAAATTCATCCATTTTCCTGAAAATGACATCATTCCATTCTTCATCATGGCTGAATATATTCATATGTAATATATAAAAATAAGGACATTC